GTGAAGAGTTTGTGCCCCACCATGTCTTCAGATGTTCCTAGCAATGAGCATGTGGCCAAGCAGGTTGCAAGGCCATGCATCTGGCCCTGAACGGCTATTTGAGGCCAGAGAGGGATGAGGAACAATGTGTTATCCTAGGTTATTCTGTTGTTATCAGTCTGTCCAGGCTGCATATACCTAGTGTGAACAGGGAGTTCACACTTGGTGAACTTCTGTTCACACCAGGTGAACCGAACCTGGAAGCTTTCACATCAGCCTAAAAAAGAAGCTCTGAAGTTCCTAGGATACAGATGAGCACCTTCATCTCCACCCTCCCCCCTGTTAAAAAAGAAAAAAGAAATTACTCTCCAGAAAACAAGACAACTTTAGACCAATTGCAAGTATTTGGGAATTTGTGCTAAATTCCATGAATAGTTTTTTAGAAAAAAATTGGAGAGGTTCAAAAATTTTACTAGTATTTCCTAAAATAAAATGTTTATAGCAACATTTTAAATTGGAACTAGACTGAATCATAGATTTTTTTATATTTAAAACCTTTAAAAATTAAACATTTGATTCTGTTCTTAAGCTTCTTAGCTCAATGAAGAAATGCAATACTATCGCAATTCTGTCCTTAATTTTTTTCCTCTTCTTTTTTATTTTGTTCTTTTCCCTATGACAACAAATGTGTTACTCTTGGCCTAATAAAAACAAAAACAATCTTTAAAATTTTAGAAAGTGAAAACTTGGTCTGCCTGGACTTAGTGGTGTGCTTGGCCACACCACTTGGAGATGAAGGCCAAAAAGAGGAGAAGGGCAATTTGGGCAGAGCTCTCCCTGGCTTAGATGGGCACCAAGGTCTTAATACCATTTTGTATGACAGGATTTGAATGAAAGGAGATATTATCCCTCCTTCTATTTACCATTCATTCACCCTTAAACATCAAGGGCAACTTAGTAGAAACAGGAAGGCATTTTAATACAGTAAAGGGTTTATCTGTAGTCAAATACTCAACTGTATTCATAACTGAAGTAATAGAAAATATGTAGAAATTGCTGTTACGTGGAGACCACAGCGCCCATTTCACCTCTAAGAAATGGAATTGGTCCAACAGTTACCATTGTGAAGACAGATAATAGAATATGTCAATAAGGTATTGGAATATGTCAGTAAGGTATTGATGAAAAGTGACATGAATGCACCTGTCAAGCATGTTCAAGGGAAAAAGAAAGAGCCACTGGTCCCCCAACAGCCATTTCAGTGCAAAATAATTCAGCTGCCTTCATTACTTGTCTGCCCTGCCCTGAGCAGGCGGTGAGGACCCCAGGCCATTTGCAGGAGGGTGTTGCACACATGGGAGAATCCAACAGAGAACAAGCAACCCTTCGGCGCTTTGCTGCCTCAATTCCTATTGACCCCTTAATTCTCACCATTTGCTAGCATTACCGATTTTCTCCAAACCGTGCATTAGAGTCAGGTCTCTCTCAAACAAGTTTTACGCTAGTTCATCTTCACCAGTGCTCGTGGAGCCGCTCCTGGTTCAGGGTGGCATGAGCATGTAGATGGCTTTGTGGTGCATGGTGGGGATTCAGCTCATTCAGCTTTCCTTCTGTAGTTTTGTTTTCCCTTTTCAGGGATCCACGGACACGCTGCAGTTGCCCAAGATGGGCGGTCAGGCCAAGCAGATCCCCCTGGACATGGTGGCTGCCCTGGGCAAGCAGGATTCCCTGCCTCTCCAGGTGCATTTGCATTATGTGAAGCAAAGGACTGTTAGGCATGTCCCCAGCCTGTCAACAGAAGAGGAACCTGCAAAGGGAACAGTAGCTTGAGCATCTATCTGTTAATAAACCAGATACTTAACTCTCCTAATGGAGCCTCTCACTTGATTTACTCTACTATAAAGTATTTTGCTGGTAAACTACTAAAGCTGTAACTGGCCCTAACAGGAGAAATATTTTATGGATGGAGCCTCAGATACTGCTTTCTTTATTGTAGAATGCAGTTATATATGTACTTACAGTGCATTTGGAGTCACTGTGAGGGAAGAGAAGTTAACCTCAAATCACAGGTGCACAATTATTAAATAGCAGGCTACCAAACACAGGTCAGAAAGGAGCAGAAAGCAAATGACAGAATCCAATACACAGCCTGCCTTGAGCCACCTAGGAATTGTCCAAGCTGTTTGGTCATCTACAAACCGTATTTCCAAGTATAGCAACATTCTGAGAGTTATATATGACAAGCACATCCTGACCATCTCAGAACAGGCTAGATGCAGAGAAACTTCAGCAAAGCAGAGGACTCCTCCAGATTTATATATAACAAATGTGTAGAGGTTTGAGCAAATCCAAAACAAACAGCAACAACAAAAAACCAAAAAAACTCTGCATAAATAGCTATAGTGTAAAATTGCCTGAATTATTAGATTAAGTCACATACTTTTCATTTTGTAAATATTTCCACCCTTCATTTTGTATTCATAATGCTAAACTATTAAAGCTATTAATCAACAATGGTGTGTGTGCTTTACCAAATAGCAGAAGACAGACAAATTTCTGGCTTAAGCACTGCTGTGCTGTGCAAACCGTATGGCACTCTACATACTTTGGGTCCTCAGCAGCAGTGTTTTCCCAGGCCACTGGCTCCATCAGAAGGCCAAATTTACAACATTAAGACAATTATCTCAGTGAAGAAAACTCTCAGAAATAAGTTTGAATTCCCTTTGGAGCAAAGGCTAATTTCTAAGGAATTAGCCTTGCTAATAATCAAACCCTCCCCAGGCATAGGAGCCAAGCATGCATAAGGCTTTTCACAATTTGCTGTTGAATAGGGTCAGTGTGACCTGCCCAAACTAGGGGGAGGAAACAGGTCCTACTGCAGATGCAGTAGGTTGTCCCCAAACCACAGGGGTAGTCATGGGCACACTTAGCCCAGCACTCCTCCTGCACAGGGAAGTCCCCACAGCCACCAGCTAGATCAGGTTTACCCTGAGTTTTCAATACTAAGGAACTACTCTTTCAACAGTAGATGCTGTCTTTTTTTTGTTTTTTAATAGAGATGTACAAACAAAGCTCACATTTCTTACAAAAGAGCTACATAGCCTGTAAGCATCCTACCCCAAATCCACAGCCATAGCCCCATGCTCACCTCCAAGCCCCCATCAGACAACTCCACAAACTCTTCAAACCCCAGATACTGCTCTCCTGGCCCACAAGCACTAAGCACTGCCACAAATCTGCCTTCCTCAGCTCCACAGCATCCTCCCCTCCCAGTGTGTTCACCTGCCATACCCCTCTCTGTTGGCTGCTTAACTCCAGCCCTGGAAAATAGAGGTTCTCCCTAGCTTCTTCCTCAGCACCTTTTTATTACTCCCCATTTCTCTCTTCAGCACCCCAAATCATCAACAACCTGCCCCACCTGCTGCCTATATTGGTCCAGCTGCTACTCAGGCCCTGGGCAACCCTCCTGCACCAAACACCTCTGGCCTTATAAGGCCACCCTGGAGGCTCTTACAGTGCCATACTAGCATCTGCTGATGGAGTGTATGCATGGAGAAAGTAGTGTCACTCTCATTTCTAGAAGATTATTCTACATCTAGGCTACCACCACGAGGCAAAGAGTTGATCCAGCAGGAAGAGAAGTAACATGTAGAGATGGAGCTTTAAACAACCTATCAGAGATGCCAGGAACACCTCATGCAAACTCTAAGTGCAGTTCAGGGCGGTTGTGCGTGGAGTTCTTACATGGTATATGGCTAAAAGCAGGTATGTGCATCAGGCAACACTTCTTACGGGAAGAACTTATTTCAGGTACTGAAATTGTCCTAATAGCCTTTCATTGAAGCTCTGACCTGGCAGTTACCTATAACCATACTCATTCTTTAAGCGATCACACCACTAGTAGCATCTTATCTACCCAGAGGTATCTGCACCGTGCTGTGAAAGGAAATGGAGATGAGTCTCTCCGTGTAATGGAGATGAGTCTCTCCGTGTACTAAGCATATTCTGCATATACCCTCCATATACTAAGCATAGTCTGTGTGGCTGACGTGGCTTCAGACCATGCTTGTGTCCTCTAATCCCGTGGTCACTGCGCACTGGTCTGTTTTCTCAGCTAGCAACAGGCCCAAGGTAAAAGGAGCTAGCAGGCTGCCTATGCAAAACTGACAACAGCAAGGCATTGCACAGACAGACACCCCGGCCAAACATCTTCTCACCCCAGGCATTCAGGAGCCACCAAGGAAGACGCACATTGCAGGAGGTGATTGTTTGGCTTTGGAAAGATCCTCCTCTCCCGTCTCCCTGTCTGGCCAAAGCCAGTCACAACGTCTCTGTTCTGCTCAGTTCATCAAAGTTAAATTAATGCGTAAGCAAGAGCATCCATAGCCAAATTTAATAAGCACACAACAAGTACTTCAAAACTTTAGAAGTTTATTACCCAGAATAGCTGACTTGGTGCAGTTAGTTTTTTGTTTTGTTACATGGGAAATTAAGCAAAATAGTAGAAAATATATGTAGGTAACAGTAAAACAAAAGCCCAGCCTAATAATAGCCCTTAATATCCATCAAGCTATACTTGAGAAAATGGATAGCCAAACATAGAAAAGTAGAGTTTCTCCGGAAGAAAGAACTTTTTGTGTTACATTATAGATTCCAAACCAGTAGGAAAGATGTTTTCTGTCCCTATTGTTAAGATTTTCTTCTTCTTAGGAACAAATTGAAAAAGGCCTACATGGAAAAAATTAACTACTGCAAGACTTTCAAACCGCAGTTATCACCTTATGGGTTGACAGTTACAGATAACAGAAGGCAAATGACAGAATATTTAAAATATACAGAAAGAGAATGATTAAAAATCCAAACACTAAAAGAAAATGGTAACCAAAACTCAAACTTCACAAATATGACTTTTTGTGTCCCATAATCTTTACTCCACAAACTTTCATTCAAGCATTTTACAGCTTTTCAGAAGAGAAGTTAAACATACCCAGAAGAGATTTGTTTTGGCCATGTCTTCTTTCTTTTTTTTTTTTTTTTTCCCCCAGTAAAGTGACTTTGCATGAGCAAATAACAATAGGACTACAAATCAGATTGGTTTGGGGTTTGCTCTGGGTTGTTTTGTTAGTCTAGTTTTAGGAAAAGGGATATAGACTAATCTAAATGATATTAAATGCAGATACATTCCCTTGTTTGTTACTAGCGCCCAACAGACCCACTGCTGAAGGTTGAGTATGAGTAAGAATATGAAGATGTTGCTGATGCATCAAAACTTCCCCTCCTAGATCCACTGCGTGAGCCTGAACGTGAGCCAGAGCGAGAGCCAGAACGCGAGCCAGGTGCTGAGGAGACATTATAGGGGCTGGATATGCCTTTAGATGAAACAGAGGCTGCTTCCAAGAGTTTGAGCCCAGTGACGTCCTCCACCATTGACCGATTCATTGCATCTTTGTAGGATATTTTCAGCTTGGTCTTGGGACAGGTCAGAATCTTGGGATAGCTGCTAGTGTCTTGCAACTTCTGGGCAGCACGACCATCAATCAACCCATTCCTAATGGCTTCTTCAGTGCTTATTCTTCCACGCACTTCTGGGTCCACAAGGCCTCCAGTGAGGTACTGGAATTCAAGGAAACGCTGCCCAGCCTCGTAAGGCAACCACTTTTCTTTCACCGCTTCAGCTGCTGACATTCTCTTGCGTCCACCCTTTATGCCTTCAAACCCTATGAAGGCCTTCTGGGCCGGTTTGAGCCGTGTGGCCATATCCTGATCAATGATGCCTTGACTGACGGCTTCCTGAAGCGAAAGCCTCTGGCCCGTGCTAGGGCATATTATGCCCCCTGTGCAGGCCTGGGCTTCAAGCAACCGTTGCCCGGTGATGCTATCCACAATGCCCCGTTGTATAGCTTCTGAAATGGAGATTTTCTCCAAGTTTTCTGTGTCAAATATGGCGGCAATAGGACTGCACTCCTCTGGGGTCTCTGAGAAAGAGCCACTCCTTAGCAGTGAGGAAGAACTCCTGACACTCAACACCGTAGGAGACCGAGTTACCGACTCATGCCGAAACACCTCATCGGTGCCGTTGCGGCAGGAAATCATGTCTGCGAACTGCGTAAGGCTTAGGCTGCCAGAACGATACTGGTCAAAAAACTTCCTGTCAACCAGACCTTTATCAATAGCATCTTGTATGTCATACTGGCTACCTGTTTTTCTGTCAACAAGGACTATTCTACTGCTGCCATCTGATCCTGTAATAGTTATTTCTTCCCACTCACACTCCTGTTCAGCTAGTTCTGTGAAGGTGTCATAATCTATGAGGCCTTTGCTGTATGCCTCCTGCACTGACATCTCTCTGTTTGTTTCTGGATCTACGATGACAACCCGGCGTTTCCTGAGGGTGTTCTTCTGTGAAGTGTGCACCACCTTCTTCTTTTCTCTCAGGGGCAGAAGGCAGAGCCCTGTTGCTTCATCCTTTATGCATCTTTCTTTCAGCTGCAAGTAGGTCAAGTTCTCCTCTGTATTGGGATCAAAAAACCCTTTGGTGTCATCACTTGGATCACTGAGAATCTGGTTGAGCTCCTCATTGAAGTAGCCACGCTTGTAGGCCGTCTCCACTGGCAAGCGGTAGCTTTCTTTGGGGTCAATGATTCCCCCAGTAGCAATCTGGGCCTCCAGCAAACGAATGCCATGGCCTCTCTCAATGAGCTCTTTGTTCATTGCTTGAAACAGAGAAATGATGTTTCCAGTTTCTGGATCTTTGTACCCAGTGACAGCTCTTTCAGCAGAGAGAAGCTTCTCTTTAAATTCAATTCCGACAAGGCCTCTCTTGTAAGCTTCCTCAACGGGCAACCTCACATTGCTCACAGGATCCACTATGAACCCCGTGGCTGCCTGGGCTTCTAGGAGTTCAAGGGCTGTTCCCGGTCTAACCAAACCTATCTTCATAGCCTGGTAAATGCCGAGTTTCTCTTTAGTAGCTTCATTATAGATACCTGCAATACAACTAGAGCCCTGAAGGAAATCAATAATTCTCTCACTCACTTCTTCCACTGTAATTGCACCTCTTTCCAAGTCATTCCTTGTTGATTCCATAATAATTCCCGCTTCAAAGAGCGCATCAACTGAGACAGGCTGCCTGATCCCTTGGAATGACATACTTCTCTTCTGCATTGGGAGGAGGAGCAAACCAGTGTGTGGCTCAATCCTGCATTTTTCCTTCAGCTGCATGTAAGTGACTGCCTTTTTGGTGGTGGGATCAATGAAGTTCTTTGTAGAACCCTGGCAGTTGTTCAGGATCCTGTACAGGTCTTTGTCAATCAACCCACGGGATAAAGCTATGTCTTTGGGCAGGAAAACACTGTTCACAGGATCAACGATCCCTCCTACAGCCAGCTGAGCTTCAAGCAGGCGAATCCCAGTTTCTCTGTCAACCAGGTTTTTCTTGATGGCTTCAGATATCGGCACGGTTTTGCCTGAGAAGGGATCTTTAAATCCCGTAACAGCCTTTTCTGCTGTATAAATTTGTTCTCTGTCATCAAAGTCAATGAGATCTCTGGCAATAGCACTATCCACTGTTAATATCTCATTTCGGTGCGGGTCTATCACACCTCCTGTTGCTGCCTGGGCTTCTAAAAGGAGGACTGTATTTTCTGGTGTAAGAAGCTGATTCCGTTTGGCCTCAACGAACGAGTACTTCTGTTTGGGCGAAAGAGATACCCCTGCAATAGCACCCGCTCCTTTGAGATAGGGCTCAATGTCAGCAGCAACTTCTTCCACTGACCTCTGCCCCTTCAGCAGTTTATCCAGGGTAAGTTTGTCTATCAGCTGACACTCATACAGCTGCATTGCTGTAATCTTCTTCCGCAGCCCACTGAACAGCAGCTTGGACGCATCAATACCAAAGTCTTCTTCAGTCTGCGTACACCTATGAGACCCGTAGGGGCGTTGCTTGAGTTTCTCAATCTCTCTCTGCAGCCTGAGACGCTCAGACTCCAACTCTGACTGACTCTTGACAGCAGTCTCTTCCAGTCTGCACCGATACCTCTCCTCAATTCTCTTAATCTCCATCTGCAGCCTTTCAATCTCACTTCTCAGGGCACTCTTTTCCCTCTCGCTCTTCTCTTTCTCACATTGGATCTTTCTAATGGATTCTTCTGTCCGGGAATGCTGGCTCTTCCACTGATTGAAGTCATTTAGGATTTGTTGTTTTTCACTTTCCAGGCGTTGCTTCAAACGACTCT